AGTCCTTCAGAACTGCAGGGCAGCTCTGCGATCCTGAAGGGCTGGCAAGGAGCAAAGCTGAGAGTCAGGAGGAGCTTTCTGGAGGATAGCCACTCACAGGGGAGTGGGTGCTGCAGAGACTAGGGCAGAGAGGCTGAAACAAAAGGCCAGGGAGGTTTGGGCCCTGGAGTCAGCAAAAAAGACCGCCTCCCTGAGGCACAGGCTACCCAGAATCTCCCCCTGTGCCCTTACTACCAGGCTGGGAACACTGGGCTCAAGCACTCAGGTATAGCATTGCCCTCTCTGGGCTCCCCTTCCCCAAGACACGAAGTCTGGGGACACGAAGTCCCTACCGCCTGTGTCTGATGAATTGATCCGGTGTTGTGATCCCTTGATGAGAGATACGGGTGTGGAACAGGGCAGATGGGAAGATGGAAGCCTTGACCAATTCAAAGGGAGAAATTATGTCAAAGGAAGAGAAGACAACTCTCAAGGAACCCATGCAAGGGCCTGGGGGTGGGAGCAGCTGACGAAGGTGGAGGCAGGAAGGGAGCACCGGCCTCTGAGGCCGGGGCAGGCGGTGAGGGAGGGCACTGTGGACCAGCCCACTTTGACGCTCCAGTTAATCTAACTGGACTCCAAAATTGGCTGATTTCTCCTACCCCTGCATCTCAGTCGCCAAACTGCACGGACCCAGACCTGTCCCAGGGCGCAGCCCCAGGGCCCCGTCCTGCCCCCTCATTGGTCAGGACCCCCTGGCAGCTCACGGGGCAGCTCAGAGGTAATCGCTTCAAAGCCACCGAGCCAGCTCCTAATGGGGGGCAGCGGGTTTCACTTACCTTGCCTGGCCTCCTGGCCGGGGCAGATGGGATGCAGCTGGGGGAGGCCCGGCAACCTTCTCCCTCAGAAATTGTCATCCTCTTGCCCATCTCCCATCAGCCCTTCTCTGGTTGGTCTTTGGAACTGGAGGATAGGGGAGGCGATTCCCCCAAAGCAGGAAAAGGGAGCGCTCACTGAGTGAGCTTGAAAATCATACCTTGGATCAGAAGACAAAGATCATCCCCCGGCTTGCCTCCACCCATCTACCTGTGCCCCCAAGCCCAGGTTCTCTGAATGCGTGTCAGGAGGGGGCACCTGGGTGGTAGGTAGAATCGAGGGGCAGAGTACAGCCGCTCTGACAGGCAGGTTCTAGCTCCCCAACTCAACTCCGGGTGAGGACCAGAGGGGCAGGGATGGAGGGAAGGAGAGACCAGGACCTGAGGGTTAGCAGTGGGGAGTGCTCACTCACACCGGCCACTTATGGTACCACTGCTTCCTTCCAGGGGGTCCTGGGACAAACGGCTTAACCGCTTCAAGCCTCAGTCTCTTATCTGTAAAATGGCAATGCCAACATCTCCTTCATGGGAAGACAGGGGGCGTTAAAGGAGATAACGTGTGGCTCTCCCCACCCATAGGATGTCTCAATAGATGTGAGTTCTCATTGCCTGGTTGGGGAGGCAGGCTGGTTTCCCAGCGACTGCTGGGGATGCGCGCAGGGAGCTGTGAGCAACATCCTGCGCGGGGTGGGGGGGTGCTGAGGTGAGGGGTCCCAATGGGACGGGAGGACAGGGAGTGTGTGTTAGGAGCTTGCCTTCCTGAGGGGGCGGGGTGATGGAGGGGCGGCAGGGCGCATGGGGCAGGGCCAAACCCCACCCAGTTGGACTTCTGAAGATGCAATTGGACCACCACGGCCACTCCCAGCCCCATGGAGAATGGCATTGACATTCTCCACCCTCTCCCCTTAGGCTCACCATTAGTCCAAGAAGACTTGGAGTGTGTGTGGTGGGGACAGGGCCCTCTGTATGTGCAGCTGTTATGGGAAATGGCTCTGGGGGATCCTCCATGAAACGGCTGCCCCCGCCCCACACACCCGGCCCCGTCTGTCCCATCTCACTTGCTGGTCAGCTCCTAAGAGCCCACTTCTCATGCCCCATCCCACAGCCATGGCTGTAAGTGCCGAGGGTTGGGGACAGAGAGCTGAGTCAAGGGAGAAAGTTTTGAAAGGCACTTGTGTCTGGGGTCAGGAGTCACAACCGTTAGGGAGTTAGGCTGAGGCCACCAGTGGCTCCGTAGGGCCTCCAATATTGTTCCGAGGCCAAGGGACAGACCCGAGTCTCCCGCACTCGTTAGGCACAGGAATCCCTGCTGGGTGGGGTGCAGATGCAGGACGGCAGGCAGGTGGTGGCTGGCGGTGGTGGCCATGGCCTGGCGGTCATGGTGGTGATGGTGACGCTGGTGACAATTGTGGGGTGCTCACAGTAGCGATGAGGAGGATTGTGGGTGTGGTAGTGATGGTGGTGTCATGGTGACGGTGGTCACAGTGGTGATGGTTGTGGGGATAGATGGCCGTGATGGTGACAGCCGTGATGATGGTGATGGCCCCCCCAAAGGAACATCCTGATCACAGCCATGCTATTTATGGCATGGTCAAGCCAAGGTGTCACATTATGAACTAATGCTTCACATCAAATAACCAGCACCCTGGAACATCAGCTCCACGAGGGCAATTCACCGCTGTATCCCCAGTGCCTCCAACGTGGGGCATACAGGAGGTGCTCGATAAATGTGTGCCAAATGAGCGCAAAGAGATCAAGTCTCTCGTGGTGATAAACACTGTGTTACTTCATTTGTTCTTCACCGTGCTCGTTCAAGATCTTTCTAAAGACATTCCCACTTGATGGATGAGGACACTGAGTCTGAGGGCGATGACATAACCCATCTAAGACATGGGGCGGGGGGGAGTAAGTGATGGGGCGGTAGAGTGTGTGGGCATTTATAGCCAGGCCTATCTGACTCTCAGTTCGGTGCTCTCCCTCCCCTGGCACTTTGCAGCCGCTCTCCCCACCAGCTCTCAGCATTCCATCGTGGTCTTGAGCTTGGGCTTAATCATAGAAATACTGCTAATAATAGTAACAATTGCTGTTTGTAATTGTTCGAGTAAGGCTTAAATGATCAAGACCGTGGAAATTATTAATAACCCAGGCCCAGCCATGGTAGTGTGGGTCATATTAAATCGTGTTGAGATGGATAACCTTGGCAATGATAGTAACCGGGATCATAAATTAATAACGGGAGTATTTAAATTAATGCCACACTGTCGATACCCTTGGTAGTAAGCAGCTCGATGCTGCTGTTAGGACTAACGTTGGCCTTTCCTGCCTTCCATGAATTCAGCGGAGAGGAGAGGCAGGGCCGCAAAAGCTGCTGGAGGAGGAGACAGCTTAGAGGTGGTCCCTGCCAGGGAGAGGGACTCCTCAGGGATTTCTAGCTGCCTGGCCTTGGAGGTGGTGAATCATCCACACTCATGCCCAAGGACACAGTGATGTCCACCTGTTTTTTTCAGAGGCTGTCTCCTGGACTTCGGTGGATACACAGGAAAGACGTTCGCAGGGCAGATTCGACCCCCCCATGAATGAATAAATTAGCTTCAGCTGATCTAGGGAATCACCTACCAACTGCTTAGATGCTCCCTTCACAAGTGCACTTGATCTCCCCCTCTTCCTGTAATGTGGGAGGGCAGTACTATTTTTTTCTAAGTCAAAACTGAGGTCCACAAATGGCCAAGATCAGGGTGTGGGGATGGGCTTTGTAGACTTGCCCCTTACAAGCTCTCTGTTCCATGGCCTCCTTGCCAGGGGATCAGGAAAGGGTGGGGACAGGCAGGGAGCAAGCCCTGAGGTGGGGGTGCTTCCCACCGAAAGACTGGTGGTACTCTCCCTGGGTTGCCAGGGACCTGTGATTGGGACCTGCTCTGGTTTCTAGGGCATAGTAAGTGTGGTCCTGGGGATGCCATCGTAGTACATGGTACATGGATGTGAGTCCATCCAGCCACTTTTCCTTTTATTCCCTTCAGGTCTTTATTGAACACCGGCCGTGTACCAGGCATTCAGATAAGGAACCATAGTCCCTGTCTGCAGGGAGCTCATAAGCCAATGGAAATACAGTCTAGTGAAGGCTATATTGTTGCGGATGTAACTGTATGTTTGTGCATGGGCGCGCGTGTCCCTGGATGTGTGTGCACTTGTGTGACAGACCGTACACGTGAGGCTTGTGTGGAGGTGACTGCACATGTATACGTGCATGTGTGTTTGAATGTTATGACCACATGCGCGATGAGTGTGCAAATGTGCGTGGGTGTGCAAGTGCACATGCATGTGTAGAACGCACAGGCTTACACGAGTGCATGAGGGGGATGTGAACACATGCAGTGCGTAAGCGCATAGACGTGTGAGCTTGAGAGTGGGTGTATTCCCGTGTCTTGTGTGCACACCTGTTACCCCTTCAAACCCATCTTTTGAGAATTCAAATAACATCGGGATGGACTCCACCTTAATGTCCCTTCTGCACACTGTCGGGGTCAGGCCACCTGCTACCCCTCCCCTCCCCTTCTCCTAGACCTTTGCACTGGGAAGGGACAGAGGTAGGGGTCGGCTGTGGACCCGGAGGTGAAGGGCGGGGCGGACAGTGGGCATTCTTGCTGACAACGGCTGGGTAGGGAGCAGGGCCGGGGCTGGGAGGGGGGGGGGGGGAGAAGCTGAAGCTGGAGGCAGAGGAAGATGGGTGAGAGAGTGAACGCTGCGGGGGTCTGCAGCCGAGAGGAACGGGAGCCGCACAGGGGATGCCCTGGTCCCTGAGCCCACAGCATCCGGGAGCGGCGCGCACTAGCGCGGACCCGGCCCTGGGTACCGGGGCGGACGTAGGGAGAGGCTCCGAGGGCCCGTGCGCGGAAAAGCGGCAGCGGGGCGCGCGGGCGCCCAGCTCCCCGCAAGCCTTCCC